TTGTTTCATTAAAAAAACTGCACCGATTCTTTTTGTCAAATATTTTGTGTGTGTAAAGTACAGTACTAGTCCAGACATATATCCAACATTCAGAAAGATTGCTCCCAAGTATCTTACAAATTTAGCCAATACATATCCATACCCCTATGGACAAGTCAAGAGATGTTCCGAAAACTGTAAATATAACCTTTTTGCACCTGGCCTAATCACTCTTTCCATATCAAAATCAGTTAAAATACAACATCCAAAAGTTTATTTCACCTCTCTTCTTTCATTTCCATCCAAAAAAATCTAAGAAATGAGTGAGGAAGGGTAAGAAAAAAAAAATTAAGAAAAAATACACTCTAATTAAAAGGAACTATATTCGTGGACAACGAAAAGCGGGATCATTAATTGTGGTCTTGGGCCAGAGAGAGAGAGAGAGAGAGAGAGAGAGAGAGAGAGGGAACAAAATTTGTTTGAATACGCAAATTAATTTTCATTATTTCTAATGGAAACAATTAATGATTCTTCAAGTTGCTAAATATTCTACTGATTTCCTTTAACGCATGGAATCTTGGGAACAAGTTATGATAGATATATGATAGATTCCCAGTTTTTGCTTAGAATACGTACATATGTTAAAAAGAGTAAAGAAAGGTATATAAAAAATACTATTGCATGATTATAAGTATAAGTGTTTTGTGGTGTTAACAATATATTCTATTTATTAACATCTGTAGCTGCTGTTCACGGAGGAATATTTGATATGAATAACATTAACTTATACCGTAATCTTGGAAAGACATTGGATGACGAAACGTGAGATAAACTCCAATCAGAAAAACAACGGCCTGTTAAATGGCAAAAATAAACGGCAAACAGTTATAGCAGATATCATTAAACGACAACTAAAACATAACAGACTTCGACAAGCACACAAAGATCGTGGCATTAAATAGGAAATTTATATATATAATTTTTGCATAATTATAAATAAAAAGTGTCTAACTCATTTAATAGTTGTCATGCATCGAATCAACCTGGAAATTATTTGCGTTCATGTATGAACTTTGAATTTTCGACCAAAGTGGAAGCTTCCATTTACCTCTGATCGGTGACGTCACCAAGTCTACTTCGGTTAACCTCGGCCTAATTCAACATTCAGGGTTTTCTTTTATGATTTCATTTGCTTAACTAGCAACAAATTACAGTATCATGAAGGACAAAAACATTGCTTAAACCTTTGAAACCGAAAAACTAATGACGAAATTACAAACCGAAATTCTTTCATCATCTGAATCCGCTACATGGACGCATGATTGTTTTGGATCAGTTTTGCATTGCCGCTTTGTCTTTGTACAGTTAAAAGCTTGACAAAAGGTCATTGTGAGTTGATATTTTATGAATTTGAATAAATAGAAAGCCAAAATATAGAGAGAATATCAAGGGGGCAAACGAAAATCAAAGCCATGTGCAAACATTTGTTTTTTTAACAGTCGAACAATAACAACAAACCATTACACAGAAACCAAAAGAAAACTAAAGATTGAACCCCATCAAAAACCAAATAGAAATTATGTGCTACGGAATGGTAAGCATTGCCTGCTTCACATGACCAATAGTGTTGATTATGCACGTACACATCTGGCGATGAGTTGCATTCGTTATTATGACAATCAAAGAAAAGAGGAGTGTATTGTAGTTACGGCAAATTGAACATATCCGTGTTCATCTGCGACATTGATATTTTATAACTTGTAAAAATATTAGTGAATTTGTAAAATTTGGGATGTTTAAGATCCCTGAAATAAGTGATTTTGTAAATTACTAACATTTTCAGTGATTTTATAAAACCCCCTAAAATTATTAGGAAATTTATAATATTGAAAATATTGCTAGGGATTTCATAACTATGCACTTCAACCGTAGGGAGCAAAACCTATGTCGATTCCCTTAAACTGGGATCAATTTATACAGATGGTACATAGAAGTAAAATATATTTTGTTTTTGCTTTTAAAGTTTCACATTTTCTCTTTTCAACATTTCATGAGCCCTCAACCATTCCCCTAATAAAGGAATCTGGTATAACAGTTGTTGTATGCTCCTCCCTCTTAATTATAAACATTAACACATGTTTTTGAGAATTATTTTTATAAATAGTATATGTATGTCGATCTTTATAGATACATCTAATTTGTGTTTTATTTGTATTGCTTTGCTATTAAAACGCCTTTTCCTTATAAAATAGATTATCAATCGGAGATTTATAAATAATTTGAAGATAAGAAATTCATTGAAATATATTTTTCCTGGATGCATTGTCCTATCAATTGACATCGGTCACCACTTTTGAAATGGAGGAAGGTTATCTGTATAAAAACAAAGAGTTTTCCCCTTATTCTTGAATGATGCCCAGCAAACTATTTTCTTCACTGTGAATTTCTCACCTGCAAGTACTCCACATTCCAAACAAAGATGATATAAAGAAGGGTTTGAAAACTGAATGTCCAGTGAAACAGTTCGATCATAAGCAAATATCTTTTTGTTTGGATCATAAAATTCATATTCATTTCCAGATTGAATCTTTACTATAAAACGTTTGGAACTATTCCTGTCTGGGGGTATTTCTTCCAAAACTTCTTCGAGTTTCGAATTAAATGTTCTCGTGTAAATGTGGTTTGGTCCCCTATGTTCTGGAGGAGCTCCTTGATTATTTGGTTCTGTTTCTGCCATCTTCACTTTAACCACATATGAATTATTCAAAAGCCTACACATATGTTTATGTCTCGACCAATGTATAGCTTGACAATTTTTTGAACAATATGTTGCTTTTTTGCATTTTGAACATGATTTCAAATTTTGTGATACTTGACGACAAAAACAGCAGACTTCTACTAGTCGAACGATTTCATTTGGATGTTGTGTCCCTTTTTCATTGTTTTTTAAATAATTGTTACTATAAATTATAGGTGGTCTTGCACATCCTAAAACTTTACTGTTCTCTAAACATATACGAGGTTTAGTGGCCTGCAGTTTGTTACGAAATATTTCTGCTGAATTCAATATATAAATACCTGGACCAATATGATCTCTTATATTGTTCTCATCAATTATTACGGAAGCTGTAAAATTTTGACCGATTCTGATTCCACCACATTTGTTATCAAAAATGTCATTCTTCATAATATAGGCAGAAGATCGCAACTTCACCATCATGCCCCAAAAAAAGTTTGAAAAAATTCTGTTTCCTTTTATTTCGAAAATACCACCATCACATGATACGCCACAAAGACCATTTCCTCTTATAATGTTATCAATAATTACAGCTCTAGATGCACCCTCACCGTTCATTTCTGCCGATATATTTGACGTTATCATTCCTCCACACCGTATGCCTTCTGCTCCGTTTGCCTGAATTATGTTTTCATAAATGTAACCATAACCATTAGGTCCAATAGCAACTCCATGAAACTGATTTTCTGAAATGATATTTTTAATTACTTTGATAGCGCCTCCATCTCTAGCTTCAACTCCCATTTGTCTCATATTCTGCACGGTAGAGTTTTTGATTTCGATGAGAGAACCTTTTCCTTGTGACAAAACTCCACCCCCTCCACATCTATTTAACAAACATAAATCTATGTGCGCAATACCTCCAGCGTATACTCATATTCCTGCATAACCGGGCTGACCTAAACAGAGAAACCCAGAAACCATCTTTTTTTCTTGATAGACTTGTTTGCATGCCATTTGATCAATACAACCTAAATTGCCTGTGCATTTTGGGAAAGCCTCACACCCTTTTTGCCCGTTTGAAAATTCACATCTATAAAATGTTGCTGTAGAATTCTTTTTAACTGTGATCTGGCTTCCTGAAACAAAATTAATGTTTTCAAAATATGCGTTTATCGTTTGTTCGGGTTCATAATCAACTGTGAAACCAGTTTCGGTTAAACAACAAATTTTAACACCTGGACCAGTGTCGATGTGAACGCCATCTTCTATACCAATCATCTGGATGCTTTTTGTTATAACTATTATATTTTTGAATATATATCGTCCTTTCCGCAACATTAACGTAGTAAATGGCATGGGAGTAACCGACATAATTTCTTGTAAGAACTCTGGTCTCTCAACCATTTTATAATCTATAATTGGACAATTTATTTTCCTGTGTGATTCAAGGAGAAATGATGGATAATTACAAGATCCCATAACTTCAATAGAAGGAGGTGACGACTCTTCTACCGATCCCGATAAACCATAGGCTTTCCGGCAGTGTCTTTTCAAAGCATCGGAAGGAAATCTGACAAGCCTATTTCCATCAGGCAAGAAAAGCTCACAGTCTCTAATTCTACATAAGCCTCTGTTCGAGAAAAATCTGATATCAAGATTTTCAAACCGATATGGACGCATACTTTCAGTATAATATCGAAATACATCTGGATACATTTGCTCTCTGAACGTTCCGTGACCAGTTATTTTTGAGGTATCAACACCTGAAGTGACGACAGATTTATTGGCACGAATGTCTTTGTTTTCTATAGGGATAGCATATACTAGACATTCTAAGATAATTTCCCTGTCTTTTTGTTGAAGCGGTATTTTTATTTTTGTTAGATCATTGTAACTGTTTTCATCCACTGGCAAAGTTGTCATTATTCGCAACATCAGCTCCTGGTCTGCAAGAGCCATCCCTTGTCGTTGATGAATACTGTGATATATTGCTGTGGTCTGTAATATCTTTAGCATCTCCGTATTAAAGAAAAGTTGGTACTGCGAATTTTCGTTTTTCTTCATATCTAACACATAAGCTTTTATTGTATTTGCATTGGCTGCAAACTTTCCCCACTTAACGAGTGATCCCCATTTAACCGTATTTCCGTCTTCGTCGTACAGAACATTAACTGGGGATTGACCTGAATCTAATGCCTTGTTTATCATACGTATAGCGTGTTGGAGAAAAAGAAAACGATGTTGGACTTCCATATTATCTTTTATTACCTCCTGAACTAACCTGTGAACCGAAAGAGACGTACCACGTAAACGCTGAAACAAAGAGAATCTTGTCAAAATTTCAATGATCTGGCTGCATCCCATTTCATCATTAAGTACGTCAACCAGAACTTTATCTTCCACGAGTGGACTTCCTATATTTATAATTTCTTTCGGAATATCATCAGCAAACAAAAATGACGCAACTTGCATTATGGTTACCGCAGCTGTGCTCAAGCCTTCATTTTCCGATTGCCTAGTTATATACTCAATGTTCAATTGCCATGTTGTCGCTATCGCTAGTCTATCTTTGCTGGTATTCATTACAGAAGGTGCTGCCTTCAATAATTTCAATCGTTTCTTTTTGAATTTGTTGACGTAGTCAGTGAAGGAACATTTAATGCTTTTTATATGTGCAGCTGCTTGTTCTAGTGCTAATGGCAATCCACCAAGCTCTTCTACTAGTGACATTACGGTATCGTCATCATTGTTGCATCTAATCTCTGTTCTGCGCATTAGAAAATCTAATCCTTCTTGCGTTTCAAATACATTTAGACAGATGCAGGTCTCTGACTTAACGGCCATCGACTCTTCAATTTCATTAGGTTCACGTCGGCTTGTTATAATGATATGTCCACGAGTATTCCGTTTCCATGTTCCTATCAATAGTTCTTTGGTACTGTCAGAAAGGTTTTCACTATCAACATTATCAACAACTAAAAGCCATCTTTCATTCAAATTAGAAAACCATTTGAGAGTTTTCTTAAAAGTTTCTTGGAAATCTTTTCCAGTTGTATCAACATCTATTGCTAATGTTGTAAAGGAATCTTCTAGTGTATGTTGTGTTTCTGCTGACATCCAAAAAACACCGGCTGGATAGAACTCCTGCGACCGCCATGCAAATTCAATAGCAAGCGTTGTCTTTCCACAGCCACCTAAACCGCATATGACTAAATCATAATTTCCATTACATTTTGCGATACAGTTGTCTTTAATTTTACACAATTCCGTCTCTCGAGCAACAAATGTTTTTGATCGATTGGGTGGATAAAAGAAAGTGTTCCCACTAGGTTCAGACATCGGCATGTCATTTCTGAAATCGTTTTTGCCATCCTTTATCTCAGTTATTTCAGTCTTAATGTTTGATATATCTTCCTTTATCTTTCTATTTTCGTTTTCAAGTTTGGATACTTTTTTGGTCGTGTTTTCAAACGATAATGTCCTATCGTATAAAACAGTCACGTCTTCGTGTATGGTATCGAGTAATATTTGTTGTATATTTTGTTTGGATTCAATATTACCTATACGACTACATGCTAACATTATTTCACCATTTACTTTGAACAGAGCATCATGCACGTTTATAAATGTTTCGTCCATTCCTGATTTCATTTTCAAAGAATAATCAGCAAGAACACGTGTTTGCTGTCTAATTTCTTTTACAAATTGCTGGGAGACTGCATAGCCTTGTAGAAACCGAAATCCTGAGGATAAACAAAAAACTTCATTTATATTTCACCAACTTCTTTGCCGTATATAATAAAAATAAACGACGATTTAAATTTTTGTTCAAGAACTAATTAGAGTCAAATTTATTCTTTCTGTATAAATAAAGGCAACAGTAGTATACCGCTGTTCAAGTCATATATCGATTGAGAGAAAACAAATCCGGGTTACAAACTAAAATCGAGGGAAACACATCAACTATAAGAGGAAAACAACGGAACAACAGAAACAGTGAAGTGCAACAGAAACAAACGCCAACGTACATAGAAACGAACTCACTGATAACAACTGCCATATTCCTGACTTGGTACAGGACATTTTAAGAAAAAATGGTGGGTTGAACTGTATATTTAAAGGTATTAAATTCCATTTCACCATTTGATAACAAATGGCATATATAAAGCACATCAAAATAAGTCGACGCATGATTCATTGAAGATTACGGCGAGAAATTCTAAAAGCTAGGTGTAAAAAAAAGTCTACGACCGCATTCAAAATTTCAGATATGTAAGACTTAGTTTAGGTGACTAACAGCAATTCAGTAAAAAGTGGGATATTGAAAGACGATATGTCGACGAAATATTTGCAGGTGACCCTGTTGAAAAAAAACAAGTTTTGTTTCTTTGTGTCTTTGTGACTGCGATTTATAAAAGTAAAGGGAAAAATCTATGACAAAAAGGGTTTTGTTAGTCTCCATAGTGATACCGATAACTTGAAGCTTTACTTGTATCTCTAAAATGAACATGAATATTGTCAGTTAAAATATTATCGTTTCATTTAAAATGAGATTCCATTTTATTTTTAATGAGATCACGAACTAATTTAAATTAAAATTACAAATTCTATTTCTAGTGTATTATTGTTGAGACGTGTATGTGTATGCCTATAATCTTATCTTCAAATGCAGAAGAGGTAATTGGGCAATGTCCAATAAATATTCTTGTAAATTTATCAACTAACACAGTGATTGTAACGACATCAAATATATAACGACTTTCACATTTATTGGAGAACGGGTGCGAACAAGTTTAAATTTAAAATTTGCCGAAGAGGAAGAGGAAGAGGAATAATAATAATAATAATAATAATAATAATAGTAAAAATAATAATAATAATAATAATAATAAGAACTGATCAAAACCAATAAGTCTTCCCAAACTTAAACCTGGGACAATGGTGTAACAGTACAACATAAGAACAAACTATAAAAATCAGTTGAAAAGGGCTTAACTCATCAGATCGATACAAAGCAGAAAAACATCTAACAAAAACACAGACCGGACGTGGCAGGGTACTTATACATCCCCAAAACAAAAAACGACACCAGAAAAGTACTCTCAGTTACCGGCAGCTAGTTCAAAGCCAATAACAACTAATAAAAAACCATGCATCTAAGACTAAAATATCAATCAGTACACATCCAACATCCAATGGATTTAGTAAAGGCGCCAGTCAGAATCAGTCAGATAAAAACATGACCTTGTACAACGCCAAGATACAGGTATCGACAGATTGTAGAGCCTTGGATGTGCATATGTATATAAAAATAATATTTAGTTTGATTTTAATTTATTGATAACAAAATCAATATTAATACCAATAAAAACACTATTCAAAGATCTAATTACAGTATTGAATTGGTAACCTTTTAGAAAAAGTTATTTTAAAAGATCGATAAGTTTACCCGGATCGTTACGGTATCTAAATTTCCGGGCTCGGTAAACAACATCTCCGTAAAAATTAGGATGTGCTATCCCGTTTGAAATAAGTTTTCTACAGGTACAACCAAACTTCCAAACGAAATCTTTGTATCTATAGAAGAATTTAGTAAAGGTTTTAAGTAATTTGTGGTAACGAAATCCCTGACTTAGTAATTACCCAGTAACACATAGATTACGCTCATTGAAATCCAAAACGCCACAAGAGATTCAGGCATAGCGAACGAGTTGTGATAAATAAACACCGAAAAATGGTGCAAAAGGAACATCACCTTTTCGAAAATAACCAATAGGGAACGAAAAATCGTCCCTTTTCTCGTAGTGTAGAGTTTCCCGTGTAAAACTGAAATATAACTACTTCAGGAGTCATCCAATGATTTGGTCATATTAGCGGTTTTGTAGATCTCGTATGGCTGATCTTTTTTTATAGTTTCTATTTTCTACCTATTTATTGAATTTGTTTAGGTGATTTGCAATTACTCATATAAGTAGTAATCCAATGGTTTCAGTTATCATGACATTTTTATCAATCTTATATTGCTTACGCCGATTCCCTCGTTCCCACGGCGCATAACTTCTCCGTGGGAATCGGATCTAAATTTTACTTACCCATCGTAATAAGCTTTTCATTAATTGCTTCTCGTGATTCGGACCCCTCTTCGGTTTCGGATCAGGATATCCGGTATGTGTTTCTGTCTTCATTATTTTTTTTAATGTTAAATGAAAATAACTAAACATTCCTTTTTTTTCAGTTCTAACAAATTACGAAAACAAAATCCTTTCCGAAAATTCAGTTTCAACTTATTAAAGTAAAAGTAAGAATGCAGTTATTGAAATTACTGTTCCACTTGTGTTTGTAATATCATTCAAGCATTGTTGACGCATTAAAATGTCATGGCAATTTGACTGGTTCCAGTTTTGTACAATTTAAAGGTGGTTCTGTAACTTTCAAATCATTACCTAGTAGATTCAATAAACCAGAAGCTGTATCTTTACTTGGTGGATCAACACATCGCACAATTTTTGCTCTATTTTTGCTCTATATGCCCTCACGGCTGACAATCTGTATCCAGTACGATCCATTATTGCTTGTTCATCTAATCCGGCTTTGTACAATACAGTTTCCCAGAACGGTTGGTGCAATTTTCAGTTAAGCTCGCTTTTCGACACATTTCTTTCATTAAACCTCCTAGTTTGTTAGCTTCAAGCGGCTGTTTTCCATACCGTATTCTTTTTCAAAGCAAAAGTTTCCGATAAAAATATCCACCAGCCCCAAGCGTGTTAAGATATGTCTTTAAAAGGTTGGTTATACACCTGGAACCTGAAAATAAGTTATAACTCCAGATAACACAATTAATTCTTTGGTGACTTTTATTGATCTTTATGTTTTGGTAAAATAAGTAAAAACGGGGTGATTGAAATGTTCAACTTAATTTAAATTTGAATCAGTGATATTGCCTATTACTTCTATGTAATATTATGCAAATAAAAACAAACAATATCAGTATCATATGAAAGATGGGAGATAACTCTTGTCAGGAATGCAGATTCTTCTCAGTCGTGATTAACACTAGTAAACGAGCTTTAGTCTGAAACGATGATTTTGATCTTAACAGGATCTGAAAAAAGTCTCACTGTTCAGTCATGTTCAGCTTTTTAGTCAACTTTCAGACTTATCTACTGCGGTAAATGTATATGCAGTACTGTTCAGTAGCATTTCAGACAATTCAGTATGATGTTGATTTGTTCGTGTAAATAGCAGTTACTGAGCAGTCTGAACATAGACTCAACGGATTGTAATTGACTTCAAGCAAAATTTCTGAATAGTACTGAATTTACCGCAGTAAAACGATGTAATACAACGACTTTGGAGGATACTCGTCTCCCGTTTTTTTCCGTGCCTCAAAAAAAAATCTCTGTAGCCAATAATCCATAGTTTTAAAATCCATTTACAACAATTCTGGAATTTTGACACCATGTGTCCGCCCACCATTCTTTTAACACCATTGTTGCCCACTACGTGTCCTTTTGTCTATTCGGGTTAGTTTGTGAGCATATCAGCTTATCGATCTCTTCAGAAGAATCAAGTGTAAAAGAATGATCAACCCTTTTTCCACGCCGTCGTTACGTGGTTCAAGCACCAAATAATCAACTTTAAATGTTCCGAAGTCACACTCCTCTTTGCCTTCAACATTGTAAACGTTCATAGCTTGCGAAAGTTTCAAGTTAAAATCCATAATATTCGCTGACTTTGAAATATCCAGATCGTCAAGATAATCATCCTCAATCTCTTAGGAAACGACAGCCAACTTGATAGCATGTTCTATTTCGGTCGTCTTCATCTAGTTCGGCCACAACTTGTGATAACTGAACATCGTCTTTAATTTCAGCTCCAATTTGAACGTGTTCGTTTTCCTCCAAAGTTTCAAATCAGAAAAATTCGTTAAAATCATCATTTTAAAAACAAATTTAGAATGCTAAAAAAAACTACGCAAACGATCATACAAGGGGATGAATACTGACGCGAGCTTTAATCTCGTCGAATAAAACGGAAACGCTATCAGTGTCTAATAATAGTTCAAGCAGTCAATCATGTTATTTATATTTGAAATCATATATACCACCATACTAATAAACATATTTAAACAAAAACATCCCAAATATATATATTTATCAATTGATCTGTGTATTCTCTTTTTCACAGCATTACAGCTGAAACGATAATGGAAGTCTTGTTCATGGGAAAATTTCCAAACGTTCTTGTAGTAATCTATATTATCAGATAGCTTTCAGGAAAAAAAGATCAGATTCCCCCTACCAATTTTTAATTAATCTTTCGAAATTACAAATTCTGTTTACCCTCCTTCTAACTTTATATGTACATGTTTAACATGTATAGACCGCATGTTTTAAAAGACGCTTTAAATGTATACATGCAATGTAAATGTGGTCATAAAATAAGGTAATGTTCCCTAAATGCATTAAACACTACACTTTTATGCACTTTTGTAATTCAGTTATTACTAGTACAGATACACTACACTGTACACCTAGTTGGGCCGAATATTACTTGATATTAATCATGCATACACAAATGCATACATGTAATCAACAAATATACTTGCAGTTATTTTATTTTATTTTCATTTTATACTATTATTCTTTCGTTTAAACATTAAACCGATATTTAAAATGCATCTCAATAAACTTTCCAAAGAGGAATATGAAGAATTTGCATTACTAATTATATATATATATAA